TCATTGAATATTCGGTTCGTATCTATTTTGAAATTATTCAGCAATTCTGATGCTCTATGGTCGAAGGTCGTCGAAAGGTCGAAGTATAAAAATTCGAGACGAGAATTTTCTTGAAAAATTATATTGTATATTATAGAGAGAGAAAGAGAGAAATTAATTAGACGAAAGAATTTTAATCGTTTCGATACGTGTTCGATACGTGTGATATAGAAGAAACGAAGGGAAATATTTTATTTTAACGTTCGTCGTTCTCCGTGTTGTGAAGGAAAAATTGCTCGATTCGACGTTTTAATGCGACGTTAAAAGTCGCGAAAGGAAAATGAATGCAATTGAAAAAAAAAAAAAAAAAAAAAAAAAAAGAAAGAAAAAAATGTACCAAGCATGCAATTTTGCAACTTCGTTGCAACTAAGTAAGAAGCAAGTATTACCGATTCTAAGTCGTATACTCCGAGGAAAAGATCGAAGCGAAATATGAAATTCTAATTTATTATTGCGAGAACACGATATTTCGAATTCTGCGATGCCTTGAATTGAAAAGACAAAACAAAGAAGAGAAAAAAAAAAAAAAAGAAAAGAAAAGAGAAGAAAAGAAAATGCGCGAATATGTATCATTTTGTTTCTGGGGAAAAAATATATCGTTCAATGCCAACAGGTTACAAACGTTAAGGAATTTTAAGTAACGAAGTTATAATGAACGTTTCCTTAAAAAATTCATCGCCATGGATACTTAGTATGCTGCGCTTCTTTTAAGTGTTACGTTACATGCAATATGATGCAATTGAATCTGTTACAACCGTAGCGTACTTAAACGCAATGTCAATTGGCGATGGAAACGACATTATTTATCAAGATGATATATTTAAAGAAAAGTCGCCATGGCGCCAAAAAAATATTCCCTATTCATTCATTCGTCGTGGAATACTCTTTTACATATCCTTTTTAAAATTCGAATCCCGCAACAACGTCACAATCAAGATACTCCCTCAATGGAAAACTCATCCTCGTTAATAAAATTGCAAATATATAAAAAACTTTCTTTCCAATAACATCTAACTACAATCATCTTAAAATTAAACATCTGCGAATAGAAGATAAATTTTTTAACAATTATTAACAAGCCAAACAATTTCTACGCAAATTTCAATGGAGAAGAAATCTTCTATCTTCGTGTTTGGGGAAAAGAAAAATGATTAAACCTGATTAAACGTGATTGAAAAAAATTGCGTAACGATGGAGAGGAAAAAAGAAAAAAAAAAAAAAAAAAAAAAATAGAAGTGTATTTCGGGGAATGACACGATCCCCGGATTCGTAATTGTCGAACGAGAACGTCAAAGCGCAGGACGGGTTGGTCGGCCCATCCCTAGGCATTGTGCCCCTCAAAGCATTGGTATCCATTGTGCCTGGCGACAATTCGACGCGCACACACCCGGCACAGAGCAACAGTGCGCGGTTGCAACGAGCTGACGAGGTCGTTCGTTGTTTAGAAGAGAGCGTGTTGCACACACGCCATGGGCGCAACTATTCGTTAAACGAGTAGTTAAACGACGTCGAAACGTCGATCGATCGACAAACTCGAGTTCCAAAGTTTTTGAGTCTTCGATGAAGGAAATATCTTCGAGAATTTCTTCTTCTTGTTCGCTTCCCCTCCCCCCCCCCCTCTCTCTCTTTTATAATTTCGTGAATACATATATCCCAGCGATGATTAAATCAAAATCAAGAAAATAAATAACGCGTCGATTGTAGAAACAATTAACAGGAAAATTAATTTCAAATTAATTCAACGCAACGATGATAATTAAATGAAATTAAATAGAGATAATTATCAGATCGGATATCTTGTCTATACAATATTTATTATCTTGGAAACCTTGTCCTTGTTCACAGTGATGATTAAAATCGAAACGATTGTCTATTCCTTCGGATAGTTATTTTTGTTATAAAAAAAAAAAAAAAATTCCGCGAGAATCCGGGAAATGAGTTGGAAAATCCAACTCGCGTGAAAGGAGATGGTCGGTGTGAAATGGCAATCGTGCAATTGGCAACAACAAGGCTGGAAGAACTTTTAGACCTCTGTTATTTTTAACGCGTTAACTGCTTCAAGAAGCTAACGCGCGCATCTCGCTTGGCCGAGTTTAATAGGCCTCGAAATATGTCGTAGTATCGTGGGCAGGCACAAGTTCAATAAGCAAGTTTTGTTCGATTATTTCTTCTAATTCTACGAAAATGTATCGTTCTTTTTCTTTTTTCTATTCCAATTTTTTTAATATATTCGAACATTTTCTCGAGATATTCTACGTTTGCAAGATCTCTCTGCTTCTATTAAATCACGTTAGAGTGTGGAAGTTTTTTTTTCCCCTCTTTTGGAACATACTTTTATAGGAAAAGAACGTCTCTTCGTTTATTTCTTCTTAAGGAAGAAAAGTAATCGCGACTTATAATATATTTTTCTCCATCCCGATTTCCTTGATTTATATTTCGGAAAATTTCAAGATCCTCTAAGTTTTCTAAAATTTATAAATATTTATCAAATATTTTCAGTATTGATAATTTAAATTAAAAAGAAAGACGAAACATTCCCTTCCAAATATTCTCTTCTACGATAGAAAAAAATCTGTCTTCAAAACAGAATATTCCAATTCCAACGATTGCTCGTTTTTTTCCTTTTCTCGTTTTCACTTCAAAAAAAAAAAAAAAAGAAAAAAAAAGAACTTGGGAACGTTTTTCCGTCAAAGGATATTTAATTCTCGTCTGTTTCGACGCGCGAGAGGAAAAAAGACGAGTGCAGCAAACGGAGAGGGCAAGCAAGTGGGAAAACGTGGGAGGATGCAAATGTTAATAGCCTTGAGTCGATTCCGTCGCAAGTAGGATAGGTGCATAGGTGGATTCACACGTTCGCATACGTATGATTCATTCACGCTCCATCTTCGAACCCGTTAACTCGAATCGACGGTTGGTTAATAACTACCAACTTTCGCGACAGTGTGTACGATACGTAAACTTAAATAGAACTGAAACGGGACGAAAATAGAAAATTCAAATACATTCGATGGGGGGGACTTGCGCTTACACTTCGAGCCTATGAATAAATTATTTATTCGAATAACAATTTTCTGTGATTTATTCTAATATATCCAGACTCGAAGCTGAATCTTTTAAAAGCAACGATAGGTATTTTCTAATTATGAAAATATTTCACTGTAAACAAACGCTATTTTTTTTATATTAATTCTTATCGATGACGATTTCTCGGAATTGAGATTCCTTCGTTGTTTCGAATGAAATTTCGTATTGGCAATTTTTCGAGTTAGCTTTTCTAATTATCCAGGAGGATATAGAATTTCAAGTTGAACGAAATTTGATTGGTGAGAATTATTAGAGGATTTTGTTAGAACAATAGCAAAACACGGGATAATTTGTTGCAATTGTTGTAATTGGAAATCCATCAAGCATATCAAGAATTTAAAATTTACAATTTAATTTTTGCTCAATTTTCTCAGATCAGAAGATTTTGTCGTACCATTCTCTCTCTCTCTCTCTCTCTCTCTCTCTCTCTCTCTCTCTCTCTCTCTCTCTCTCTCTCTCTCTCTCTCATATCTCTAATATTAATTCGAATTTCGAATTTCGAAACGCGAATAAACGTATCTAAATGTTATCTTAAACTCTATTTTATAAATCATTATCCTTCCAGAATAGTATATCTTACGTCTAGCATCTGAGAAGTTCCGAGCCGAGGTTAACAATTTTCCAAAGTCGATGACATATCGAGGAGAAAATATCGAGCTCGTTTAGTTTGATAAGTCGATGTCGGATCAAATCGAGGAAAAAAGATTAAGAGAGAAAGTCTTTACTCGAGTATGATCTAAGCCTGTTGATCACGTCGCGATAATTGCGGATAAAATGTAGGCAACCTGATGTAAGCAACAGGTGGGCGTTTCTACTCCACTTCTATTACTCTCTCCTTTTATCACAAACTCGCTCCACATACTTTTCAACTTTCCAATCTGACTTTTTCAAATTTTCCAAACAAAAAAAAATCCTCTCTATCTTTTTTTTTTTTTTCTCTCTATCACATTGTTGATCCAACAATTCCTAATAATAAATATATTCGACAAAAATTCTAGAAAAAGAAAAAAATCCCATTTTCATTATTCGAACATCGTAAACGCCTCTCCTCCTCCTGATTTATAACAATTTTTTCTTTTCTTTAATTTTTTTTTCTAAGAAGTTAGAAGACACGGAATTGAACACGGAAAAAAACGCGGTTTTTTAATATTCATACTTCATTGTTAAGTTGTTTTAATGGAATGGATGACGCGGGCACACAAATACGATGCAGTAATTTTTACTCCAAAACGATTTTAAGCCAAGTGGCAAAAAAAGAAACAAGGCGGAAACCAGTTCTGTGTCTGTCACGTGTCGAAACCTACGTACGTGACTTTGCTCTTCCTTTTTTTTTTTTTCCAATTTTTCTTTTTTTTTTTTTTTTTTCCTTTATCCTTTTTATTACATTTCTTTAAACCGCCACTTGAAACACCACTGTTTCCATCGCACACGTAACAACAATGCGCTTTTTCAGGCGGACATGTCACAACCAGCCTACGCCTAATCAGCTAACTATTACCAACGCAAATAAAGTTATTTCCATCGTAAAACGTGATGTGGAAAATATGCTACAAAATAGGAAGTCCAATAATTGTGTTCTTTTTTCTTCTTTTTTTTTTTTTTCCACTCGATTGAGGATAAACATTCGTCATTGTGGTTAACACCACGATATCGTAGAATCGAGAAATGAAACCTTGCGAAATCCTAACAACTATCCTAAAAACAACTTAACCTGTCAAATAATTAAAAATCTACGAAGATTCGACAAAATTCTAATCCGTATATAGAAGAATCTACGATCCTTAACGGAAACGATCCTTAAAACCCGGAGAAATGGAAAATTTCGTAAAAACCTATCAACCAATTACAAGGAAGAAATACGCGCGATAAACTCGTACCATTGACGTAGACGTGGTGCTGCCTCCAGAGATGCTGGTATTGGCTCCAACGCGAGCTGGTGCTGTCCTCGTGGATGGGCGGAAGTGGCGCGTGCACCTGATGGCCGTGCGAGGTGGGCGGTAACGGTGGTGGCGGTGGTTGTTGGGGTTGTTGCTGGTGCGCAGGCGCGACCACGATGTGAGGATGGGGCGGTTGCACCGGCTGCTGTTGATGCTGTTGATGATGCGCTTGGTGCAGCACGCCCGGTACCGGCGGTGGCGCCAATTGCTGGTACTCCATAGCGCAGCTCATCCGGTTTCCGGTTTCACGCGAGCATTTAAGTACACCTCTTCCCTTCCCCTCTTCCACCAGTTCCAGGGATCGCTACTTTTCACTCACTCGCTCCTCGAAAATCCTTTCCCGCGAAAATCCTTTCGGCGAAATTTCCTCCCCGGAGACACCTTTCAATTTTTACTCTCGACGAGTTTTTCAAGTTATACGACGTGGGTCCAGGTTTAACGAGCTCGATTTTCGATCGTAACAACACTGTTTTCGGTCTGACTGACAAGGAGATAAAGAAAGGAGGCGCGCTACCGAGGCTCCTCGATCACTGTCTCGACCTGTCTCCGCATCTGAGCTCGTAAGTTTAATTTTAATTTTAATTTAGTCTTTCGTCACTTGTCACAGAGAATCCGGGAAGAGAGGGAGAGAATCGGACAGAGGATGAGCCGGATTGATTATCCTCCTCCAGCTTAACTTTTTAGGAAGATCCTTTTATATTCGAAGATCGGCGAACGACTCGTTCTCGACCACTAGTTCCGGAATATATAATCGATCGACAAACGAACGAATCCCTCTTCTCCGGGATTGCCTTCATCGAGATCACCGTCAATCCCTGTAAACAATCATCGGCGGCCACGTGACCGGGTCTCGGTGATTCGTGCCACCCTCTTCCTTCTTCCTCTCTCTCTCCCCCTTTGACAAAACTTAAACCGTCCACCAGCGATTAATCGAATGCACGAGTGCAACGGTGAATACGAAGAAATCGATGATCGAGCCTATCGAACCACACCGGGATTAAAAATCCTCCTGTCCTCCTCCTCCGTTCGTGCGCGTGCGAGTCCCGAAAGAAACATGAATTTTTCACAGACGGACGGACGGACGGGCGGACGGACCGAGTTTCTAAAAAAAAAGGGAAAAAAAGAAAAAAAACGCGGAGCTTTTTCGAACCGATTCGAACCGATTCGTCGAAAGTTGCGTTTCCTCTCCGATCCAGGCGGCCGGGAGAAGAATGGAAGGCAGCGAGCGACAAGGCGGCACTACGGTGTACTACTATCGTAGTCGTGTGTCGACTGTCAAAATCAGCGATCGTCAGCGTCTATCCGTGGCCGGTGTTCGCCCATTGGGCCGTCACCGTAGCCGGAAGCGCGGCTCCGATTGGTTCCCTGGCCGCGTTTCCTAACGGTGGGGGAGAGACGATCACGCGCCTCGACGTCGTCCTGAAACCGGAGTTCCGACTAGGAGAGACAGCACGAGGAAGGGCAGAGTAGAACCATCCAGGGAAATATATATATATATATATGTATATATATATATATATATTGAAAGAGAGACAGAGAGAGAGAGAGAAAGAGAAGGAGATTCCGACGAGTTGAGAAGAGAAGAGAAAGAGAAAGAGTATACGCGCGAATACTCTTGTGTAAAATATATATATATATAAGTATCAAAAGGGGATGAGAAGGGGGGGTAAGGTGGTTGAAGGAGAGAAAGAGAGAGAGAGAAGATGGATAGGTGGATGGATAGACGGATAGGTAGACAGGAATGGATAAAAAAAGAGAGAGAAAGAAAAAGAGAGAAAAAGAGAGGGAAAGAGTGGGAGAAACCGTGCGTGCGTGACTCGAAGCTGCGGCGTCCGGAAAGACACTGCCACTCGCCAACGTTCCACCGTTCCACCGCGCTATCCGTGTCTCTCTTCCTCTCCTTCTCCTTCTCTCTCTCTCTCCGTCTCCTTGCATCGTTCCCTTTCTCCCGCAACCCGTCCCTCCAGTACGGAGACGTTTCTCTCGCGTGTTACGAATACATGGAAGTGAGTCGTGTGTAGGTAAGTCCGCGTTGTCTGTTCCCACCTCCAACCCGTTCATACCCGTCGTCTCCTTCGCGTTCACCAAACATCCGCTTTTACCCGCCCCCACCTCCCACCACGCACCCTCTGGCTATTCTCTCTCTCCCTCTTACTCGTTACTATATTGGAGAGTTACACGCGCACCGTGTTGTACGATTCCGTTCTCACTTCCTTCTTCGCGAATCTTTTTTTTTTTTTTTTTTTTTTGGTTTCATGTTTTTTTTCTTTTTTTTTCTTTTTCGATCGAGAGTATCTCGTTGGATCATCGGTTGATTCGTCGATTTCATCCCTTTCGAAACGTGGAGATTTCGTTTTTCGTTTTTGCTTGAAATTGTGCACGTTTTTTTTTTGAATTGAAAGTCCTCGTGTACGGCTAAAGATGAATATTTTTAATATTTTTTTTTTTTTTTTAGAAGAGTAGAGAATTGTATTGAATATTGTTTTCGAGAAGTTTTGAAAAAAGCGATTTTCGAAAGCGGTGAGATCTCAAGCTGTTTTGTCCTTTTTTCTCTAAGTATTTTTTTTTTTTTTAAGTATCGTCGAGAATAATGGTTGTTGAAATTTTTTTTTAGGTCTTCCAGAAATTAAAATGAGTGAATGAGATCGTTGTAGAAGAATTCTTTACAGCGAGGTATATGAGAATAAACTTAATCCACTTCTTTTAACGTTAATTTCGCGTTATGTTAATTCTTCTTTAATACCGTTTTCTAATTACACGTTTAACCTGCAATTTCTCTACATATTAATTGAAATAAATTACAACATTATACATTACACACATATCCATCGATCGAAAGATATCAAAATTTATCGTTAATATCATTTCACAATAATTGGAAAAATTACGATTCCTGAATTCTTTCCACAATCCACCCGTGTAATTTCCTCCCTAATCGTACAAAATCGCTTACAAAAAAAGAAACAATCGATCGAATTCCTTCTGAAACAAGATTGCAATTCCTCAAAACTCGGCTTCTTGCGAGGTATAATATCGAGGCTGTCTGACCACAGGCCGGAACTTTCTACTGGCAAGAACCCGGCAGGCGGTGCACGATCAAACAGAATTCCACGGTGAAAAATCGGTGGATTACAACAACGCTGGCAAGACGCTTCTTTCGCGAGGCGCGAAAAAGAAAGAAAGAATCGGAGGCGACTTTCCATTTCGACGGTTTAGAAAAAAAGGGAAAACTGGAACACGGAGGAGGATCGGCGCGGGTCGTCCTCGTTTTCCACGCCGGATCGACCCACTTCCTGGTGCGCTTGCCTCGATCGTGACCGATCCATGAAATTAACGGTAACGGCGCGTACTGGCCGTATAAAATCGAAAGTGGCGAAATACCGCGGACTGGTAAGAGGGGACAAGTTCCATGATGGCTCCAAGGTGGGGAACGGAGAGAGTTCCTGAAGATTCTAATGACTACGCACACGCCACTGTCACCTTCTTTCTTCTATCCTGCCCTCCTTTCAACGTCCTCTCTAATAATGTATCTTTTTTATTATTATTATTATTATTATTATTATTATTATTATTATTATTATTATTATTATTATTATTATTATTATTCGTCGAAATACGTGCGCGATTTTCCCTCGATATTCGGATTTTTCGGAATTAAGAATTTTTGCCAAACTCTTTGGCCGATTTTTACTCGAAAATAAAAAACCTGAAAAATTCTGTTTGTAGAATCTGTCGTACGATTTAATCGATCTTATTCGTCTTCCATAATATTATTTCGTGAAAATATTTCAAATATTGTCGTTCAATTTAATCACTTGTCAAGCATCGAAAGAACGAATCTAGTTCTTCGATATTTCGAAGAAACGAGTCTCTCTCTCTCTCTTACTTCACCGATGGACGACGAGACTTGGAAGAGTTCCCATTTCGTTTTCGTTCGCATCTGCGACCTTTCTCTTCGTCGCTCCCTGGCCGATCGTCGGGAGAAAGGGAAAAAAAGCAACGGTGGAGGGAAGATGCCGACGTTAATTCTACTGGAACCGGCATAAACCTCTGAATCACCGGTGAACCGGTCCCGTATACCGTATGCGAACGCGGAAACCACGAGGAGTCCAGGTATTCGTGTGGCTCACGTAAAGATTCCTTTCTCCTCTTCCTCCTCCTCCTTCTTCGTTGTTCTTCCTCCTCCGTGTTCGCCGTTCTTCCTCCTCTCTTTTTCCCGTTTTCGTTTTCTCTTTCCGTTTATTTTCCATCACCGCACATGACAAAAATATAAATATATCTTCTTCCTCTTTGTACGCTTTTTCCTTTGTCACAGATGATGCGCGCAATTTACGACCAGGACGCTTGTTTCGGGGCGATGATGAATCGCGACTTTTGTTGCGTCATCTGCCTAATTGGATTACGATAAGAGGTGAAGTATTGCATTGCGAGCAGAATGAATGGATAAACTAAATATTTCTTTTTTCTTTTCTTTTTTTTGGAGTGGTAAATACTTTTAAACACTTATAAATTTTTGTTTGAATTTTTGAATTCCAATCTTTACGTTTTTTTTTTCATCCCAATATTCTAGATTTCTTTTACAATTCCAATCGTTATATTTCTTCCATCGATGTTCGAAGTTGTGATTCTCAAAAAAAGAGTTACAACTCTATTCGTCAATTCATCACTGTCATAATCCAAAAAAAAAAAAAAAAAAAAGAAAAAATTATAACATGTTTTTTGGCAAAGGAGATCTCAATGCGGACAAAATCGCTTTCATTTCCCGACTAAAGGTCAAACTCTTGCTACAGTGTGTACGCGAAATGGGAGACAACCTGTTGATCCTACCGCTTCCTTTCACTCCCTGTATCACGAGCACCACCGATGGAGATGGTGAAAAGAAGAGGCGAGCCGTTCCGACTGATTTACCGCAACACGCTCTTCATATTTCGTAATCAACGCGGGAATCGGGGATGCTTCGTGATTTCGAACGTTTCTTTCTCTCTCGAGATGGTAAATCTTATTTGTACAAGTATGATGGATATTCCTGATATAAGCGTATTTCGTTTATATACGATTTTCGAGGAATTTGGATTTTTCGAAATTCGAAAGAAAGTTGTGGGAATATTTCTCATCGTTGCGAGTTGATTAATTTGATTTTTCACATATTATTACATTATTATTGGAATGTAATTATTTACGATTTTCGAGGATTTGGATTTTTGGAAATTCGAAAGAAAGTTGTGGGAATATTTCTCGTCGTTGCGAGTTGATTAATTTGATTTTTTACATATTATTATTACATTATTATTGGAATGTAATTATTTACGATTTTCGAGGGATTTGGATTTTTGGAAATTCGAAAGAAAGTTTTGTGGAAATATTTTGCATTGTTGCGAGTTGATTAATCAGATTTGAAAGAATATTTGATTTTTTGCACATTTATCAAAGCAAATCTTGTCATTCCATTCAAAAATTACTTAACGATATCATAAAACTTAAAATTGAGAAATACCGTAAAAGATGATCTCGATGAGTTTCACTTCTGAAATATCCCATTTAATCGACAATTTCTAAGAAATTCACGTTTCCAATTTCTAAAAGAAGGTCTCTTCGTTGATATATCCAATCCTTCAAATCAATAATTTCAAAATTCTGCTTCGTCAAATAATAACCTACATTCGAAGAATGTCACTTTTTCAACCGCTATCTTATCTCTAAAAAAGAAAAAAGAAAGAAAGAAAAAAATTTCAACAACAAATTGAATTTGGAGGTACATTTATCGAGATTTATTTATCTTGCCAACCCGAAAGAAAGAGAGAAAAGGGAAGAGAGAGGAGGGGAAAAAAAAAAAAAAAAAGGAAAAAGAAAGAATGTGGAACTCGTCTAACGGGTGTCCAGAAGAAAGCGGTCCCATTTGGCCGAAACGTGCCGTGCTTTTCGTGGCCGAGATACTGACAAATTTTTGGGAACGGGTCTTCCGTTCAGCTGAGAAAAACGAGGAAGAGGGCGGAAGGAGTGGCGAGTCGCGGTAAGGGGAACGGCCAGGGCACATTTCACTAGGAGGTGAAAGTTTCGTTGCCGAAAGTTTGTTCTTTTCTTCGCGTGTCTGGCCCTGGACGACTAATTCTACTCCGACAAACGCGGAATTGCGTTACATTAAGAAAGATGTAGAGATGAACAGAAGAGATGGGCAAAATTTTAACGATTAAAGTTAAGAAAGAATGTAAAGTTATTACTTGGATAATTCAATTTATTATTTATATCGAAGAATCGAATGTATTTTCTGATCGAGATTATTATGAAATTATTATGAAAGATCGATAAATTTTTTTTTTCCTTTATTCGAATGTTTTAAATAAAGTTATTATTTCAAGTGTCAAATTTTTGTTGACGGTTGCATCGATCTTTTTTAATGGATAATAGAACGATCAAGATTT